GAAACTGCCAAGACAAAGTGCAAAGAGGTACTTTACAGTGGCGATAACGGCCATGTTTGCTCCAAGATATCGGGAAAAAAAACACAGCAATCCTCCCGGCACTCACAGAGACATTCGGAGGATTAAAAACAGATTGAGTGTCTTGATGGCAAGTACCTGACTGTCAAGTGCTGAGTCAGAGCTGTTATTTCTTCCAAGATGCTTCATGTCTGCGTTGCATGAGCCCCATGTGTTGTTTTTTTAGCGTGAATAGTTTTAGCATGTGTGAGTATTGATTCAGGCAGATCCAAACCTGGGCTGATCCCGCTAACACAGGGCAGCAACAGCAGCTGGTTTGGCACGATTTTTGGCCCCCAGGCCAGATGAGATAGACCTATGCATTTAATTGTCATCAGTATATGTAGATCAACCCCTGACCATAGAGGAAGTTTGAGATGCTCTCCCAGAGGAAGTAAAACCTTCTAACAGGCATCTAAACAGAACGGAAAGGCGCCTGGAGAGGGTGGGAACTGGAATTCATACCACAGCCTCACAGCTTTTCAATCCTTCCGTGAGGAGTTTGCATGTCCACACCACTTTCAGGGGGATTTTCACCAGGTGCTCCAGCTTCATCCTGCCTCCCTGAGTTTTCCCTCCCAAGAGAAAGGGGTGGGGACCGGTATCGCTTGTTCAACCACAGAGAAAAGGAGCAAAGGTTGAAACAGCTTCCTCTCGTTTTTGGCCGTTCTGATTCTCGGCACAGTGGAGGACGACCTGGCAGGTGATACTGGCCTTCCTTAATGCTGAGGCTGAAGAGCCTGAAGGCCGAAGCACCGATGATGCTTCTGCTCAAGAAAGGAGAGGAAGAGTTCAGGGCCTAAACACTGGTCAGCCCTAATGGCTGCAGTCTGCGAGATTTCACCAGGTAGCTCACAATGTGCTTTTCTTGAGTATTTGTTTTCTCACAACAGCATCCCACTTCAATTACAAACTAAACGAAAGCAGACTGCTCACATAACCTTCTGTGAATTCTTGGAAAATGCAGACGTTTCGGAGGAGGCCGAATACGGAAAGCCAAGGCCAATATGACAGCGAACCCAGCATTCCTGAAACAACGTCTTCTTCTTCCTACTCGGACGAAATCGCTTCCAGCCTGGTTTTCAGCAGAAGCCACAGTAGCCAGACCTCGCGTGAATCCTACAGCACACGGGGCTACAGATGAGGCAGCCTTTTCGGAGATCTGCACGAGAGAGGTCCCCAGGTCCCCCCAGATCTGACCCCACAGCTCCAGAACTGGGGGACCGCCCTCCCTGACACCATTAAACCGCACCCGAACTGTTTAACAGAGAAAGGTATACAACTAAAAGAGCAGCATGATCCCTTAGTTACGGAGCTGCCAATAAATACATATCTGTTCTGTGGGTTCAGGAAAGCAGGGTAACCCAGCTCCAGTCCTGGAGTCATGCATTCCAGCAGGGTTAACAGTCCCCTTTAAATCAGCAGCACCTGGAGAGCTAGGAAGATCTGCTCCAGTTACAGCGATGGATAGCCCAACAAGATTGTGTGTCTTTGTCTGTCCGCCCAATCCCACACAAAAGCCTGTTCCAGACTTTGACGCAGAAAGCAAAGGAGATCTGGTGGAAAATTAAACTAAAAGTGACCCCCTATCCTCCAAAACTGGACTCGTCATGATACCCCCATGATATACTGCAATGAATCGTCTAGTCTAGTCCTGATGACAAAGAAATGACTGTGATTTCTGACACGAGATTTGAAACAAGCACCAAGGTGTGTCCAGGTTTTCATGTGGGTAAATATGGTGAAAAGCTGAAATGCTCAAGTCCTCCACTGTGCTTCTATTTACTGTATGACAAAATTCTGGAAAATATCAAGTAGCCCAGCCAGAGCACGTCAACATCAGAGCATCAGAACATGAAGCATGCCAGCAACCTTCTGGAGAGGAGAGGCAGTTACTGATGTTTGTTCAGCTGAAACATGGCTGAGGTAGACTGAATTCGTTCTCTTGGTCAGCACTGACCTCAGTCTTTAGACCAAACAAAAGTGACTATGGGAATGTTTTCTGGAATATGTCACGGATATATTTCGCTAAACCAGAAAGACTGCAAAAGAAATCCAGTAGTTATAGGGCACTGGACGCATAACTGGAAGACTCACGTCCTGAAGGGGCCACTGGTGGTGATCCTCCAGTTAAGTGGTTCACTGTATAACTGGGCACAAAGTAAGTTGCTTTGGATAAAAAAGTGATTCAACTGATAAAATTGGAACTGCTCATTTTAAACAATACACAGAGGTGGACGGACTGCCCTATGTGTAACGTTGCTTGCCGAGATGCGTCTCCACCACAATTTATTCCAGCTCTTCGGTCCTTTCACCTGTTGGCAACATTAGTAACACCCACTCCACTCCCATCCCCACGTCTGAGAAAACTAAAAGGAGATGAACCTGGCAATAAGGTTAGTCACACCCTTAGCCCAAGCCTCGTCAATAATCGTGAAGGGGTCGCCCTGCAGCTCGGAGTGAAATACAGTCACAAACTCAGACGATGATGATTCGTTTCAAGTGCTCCACTTTAGCAAAGAGATGTCCCTCCTCCTCCAATCTCACTACATTTGAGTTTGCTTCTGTAGCGCCTCAGACTACAGAAACCTTTTACCGATTTCTGTGAGCAAAAAACCCGGAGGGCCCTTCCTAAATACCCAGGGAAAGAGAGAGCAGTAACTCCTGTGGGAACATATACACAGTTCTCATCCACACAGCGGACTGGTCTCCCTCCTCACAGATTTTCAAAACCGTCGCTGTTCTCCTGGAAAAAAAAGGCTGGACTTAAAAGAGCTGATTTTTAAAAGAGATTGTCAAACAAAAACAACAAAACACTATTTCAGATATTTTCGTCTTCGTTTCATTCTGGGAAATTGGCACTTTCTTTAACCAAGAAACAAACTGCAACTGAATTGAAACTTGTTTCATTCAGCTTTCATACCAGTCAACTCATGGCTCTCTACCAAATCACATCAATCTTCATCTCTCGTTAAACTTTTTTCAAGGTAATAATTACAGGAGATTTGTATGTTCAGACTCAGGTCCAATTTTAACAAATTGCCGTGCTCTGGAAAAGTCTGCGATTGCTTTTTTTTCTCTTTTCAACATGTTTGTTTTAAAATGTTTTTTTTTTTGCATGAGACCTGTCAGACGGCCAATCTTCCGTTCCTTACTCCAACCGACACATCTGTTTCTATCCCTCCAGTCTCATTTCAAATTTCTGTCAGAAAGATAAGGATCAGAGGTTTATTAACCCTCCCCAGAACAAAATAAAAAAACAGGATTTTCCATCACTCAAATGGAAAGGTTCCAGTGGAGGAATAGTTCTGAAATTCAAGTTCTCTGGCTAAAACGGGAAATGTGACTTTAAAAAAAACCACGGTCTAGGCTTGCACAGAGAAAGAACCTACTGTTGAGTACACACGGCAGAAAAGGTCACTTGGCTATATCCTTTTAAAACACGCTGCTTCCTTTCCAGAATAGCTAATTGGGCCATAATTAAACACAAGACAGTGGCTCACTATTAATGGAAAATGTGAAGACTAGGAAATATGTAAACACCACAAGCAGCACCCTCAAGTCAGTTAAGTGCTGCTGAGACTTAACGCATACACAGCACCAACAATGACATCATCCTCAAGACGCTGACGGAACTGGGCGCCGCTCAAAGCAGACAAGACCGAAACAAAAATCGTTAACTTTCGTGTTAGTTTGTCCATCCCTTCCTCCACTATCAGAGTCAGACGCTTGTTCCTGGCAAGGGTCACAGAGCCCTACAGCCTGTCACAGAAGATTAGGACACAAGGAGTAATGGGACCAGTCCGCTGCGGGGCACATTCACACAAGCACCCAGGAATTAGTCAGAGACACCCACTAACCCAGGCAGCACGTCGCAGGGAGGCAGGAGGAAATCAGGGAACCTAGGGAGAAACCACATGGACATTGGGCAAACAAGCAAACTCCACACAGAAGGATCACAAGCCCACACTCGAACCCAGGACTCAAGAGCTGTAAGCACCCAGCCGTCGTGTCTCCCGGTATCATTTCCTCAAATCCGAAACATAATCAGCTTTAACTGGTGTCATTTAGGGGAGGTGCAGTAGTGAGCATCGCTGCCTCACGCCGCTGGCATCCTGGGTTCAATTCTGGAGCTGGGGCGCTG